CCAATGACCTCCAGGCTGCATGCCACAATATCATTATGGTCTAACTCAAAAATATCGATATCTGTTTAAATATTGATTACTATGATCAAAATAAACCCAAAATTTTGGACTTACAGTGTTATTGTAATGGGCGACATAAGCGTGAAAGTTACGAATAGTAAAAACTGAAATCTACTGTATAGGATGACGTTTTGTAAAGACATGTTTTGGAATTGTATACCGATATAATGTATTGAAAATTTAAAATATATTAGTGCTAATATGTACATGAATGTATACTAGCCAACTTTGTCGGAAAATATCGACCCTAGTAGTACGAAAAGGGACTTAAGATCCATACAATTCAATTAGAAACAGAAGAACGATACCAAAAATAAATCTTGGAACATTTAAGTACAGATCCTTATAACAAAAATTATTATTTTTAGATGCCTCAAGGGATCTATTAAATCCCAATATTAAAGTTTGGGTTTATTTCTGAAAAAAAAGGAAAAAAATTGCAAATATGGTCAAAAATCGCCATTTTAATGATATTACATGAAAAGATGGTACAAATGCTCCAAAATTGTGGAACAAATGGGCCAAAAATGTATAATTTCGGATAGTAACCCCTTAACACAATTTTAAGCAAAAAACCACTCGATTATAATTTTTGTGTTTCGTATAATATGGTCATATATGAAATACAGGAAAAATTCGAATACTTTTGTGAGGCAATTTTATGGACTTTTTTAAAAAAAGTTTAATCAATTGAGGTAAATGTAATTTTTCCAAATTTTAAAGAGTGTGATATTATACCTTAGGACTCTCTAGACAATATAACAAATTTAATTATTCATTTCACACACAAAAAATATTATTAAATTATGTTTCTTTTCAAAGTACAACCAAATTCGAATACTTATGTGAGACACTGTATGTGTTTGTGAAAAAACGTCGTTAAAGTCCTATTATCCCGGTATTTTCGCGAAAAAGTTTTGAAGTATTGTGAGAGAATTGAGTTCTCACAAGTGTGTTGAATTTACACAGAACTCGTCTGTGAAGAGAAGGAAATGTTATTGTTGTAAAACAATGTCATAGTCCAACTTCTTATTATTCTTTGGCAATAACATATTAAGATTTTATATAAGTTCAATACCCAATTCAATGGGTACAACATTTACTAATACAAAAATCCTGGAATAGAAATGAAAATAACATTTAAAAAATTATTTTCGGAAATATAAATAAGATTTATTATATAGGGAATATGTATTATGATTATTTTACTAATAAAGTGAAAAATGGAATTGTTTGTAATGAAAATTACCGTAAAATACTTAGAATTCACATCGATTAAAATGGGGATCAAATTCTAAGTTGTTTTTTTTTATAAGAAAAGAATTCATTTTCGAAATGAAACAACTTTACCTTCATTAAACAAATATAGTTTTTTACATAATTTTAATAAAATTTTTCATAAAATCTTTAATTTTGTTTTGATTCTAAATTTATAAAAATGCAAGGAAATTGTCAAAAACTTTATGTGTGCATTCAAAAAGATTTAAAAAATTGACTTCCTTCCTTCCATCACCCTATTTTTACCATTAAATCATAGAAAAGTTGTTATTCGGTTTAACGAATTTTTCGTTTTTACGAATGGGCCTGACATTATATCTTTCGTTAAACCGGGAAACCACTGTATAACAAGTAGACCGACTCTCACATATAGGAAATTACTTTCTCACATCTACGAGTTTCGTGTGAATTTAACTCTCTTGTGAGAGGTTTAAACTTGTCAAAACTCTCAAAAGTTTACCTTTCTTTTTGACCTCTTTTAAGGATCGTACGCGAAATTTCAGCTATCCACAAAAAATCTGTAATTTTTTAAAATAGATTCATCACACTTTTCACATAAAATATTGTTTAATTTTCTTGAAATGGAAAATAAATTTTTTGTTTAATTATTGACATTTCATTTTTGTTGTTATTGAATTTTATTTTACAAACAGAGTTTCAATTTTTGGTATTGAAAATTCAAACGATTTTAAAATTGTTTAGAATGTACCAATACAAATACATTATTGTTACTAACACATATTTAGAGTTAGGTACTTTTTCACTAACGCATGCTTAGAGTTAGGTACTCCTGTCAAAGAGTCGGACTACTTGTTATACTTCGTTTCAAACATTTTTTTTTAACAAATACAAAAATTAATTTCAAATGTTTAAAGTCAGGGCTTCTAGATTCTGTTTGGAAAAATATAAATTATAAAATTCATACAATTTAGGAACTTATTCTTAAATATCCCAGTAGGATTTTGAGTTAACTTAAAAGTAACTTATGGTTAACCACAAATGAGTCAGAGGTGACTCAAAAGCTAACCATTTTGCTTATAAAATACTATTCAGTTTTTCAATGTGATGTCATAGGAACGAGTCAGTACTCACTCACTATACATCAGTTTCAGTTAACCAGAAGTTACCTCAAGATGAGTTAGCTTCTAGTGCATAAATAAAAGATCAGCTGTGAGTTACCTGTGCAATTTTCTTATATTTTTATACTATTTTTAACAAATTGTTAGTGATTATAAATGCGTTCAATATGCAGCAACATTTCCTTCCTATATACACCATTATCTATGTCTTATATTCCTGAAAATGTTAATTTAATAATAATAATAATAAATTCATTTTTCATTGCTGAAACAAATTTTCATATTCATAATTTCATTTTTTCAATACAAATTGTTTGACAAATTTGATACGAGTTTCTATTTTATTTTTTATTTAAAATTTTTTGAAATGTTTGTTCATTTCCTCGATCATTTTTGAGTTACTTTGAAGCTAGTCATAAGAAGTTATCAAAAAGTTAACTTGATTTTTAGTTAACTCACAAAATCCTACAGGGATTATTCACCCTTATTATGTATGTCGAAGTCACGTCGATTTTCTCTCGAATTTTCAAAATGGTATTACATATGTCGATTTTCTTTAGAAATATAACTAAGTTAAAAATCTATTACTAAAAATGGTATTATGTATGTCGTATTTTAATGGAAAATTCGACAGAAAGTATCGATGTGTATTTTACTGGTGACAAAAACTTTCAAAGCTATTCGGAATAGTTCTCGTAGCTCAAATTTGCTGAAATTTGGAAGTTATGATTACACCAGAGAAACATATAATATAAGGTTAAAATATTAGAAGTTAAGTTCGAAAATTCGAAATAAAGTTCGAAAATTTCGATTAATTTTGTTAACAATAGTTAAAATGTATATCCTTTTTTAAATCTTGTACAACATATAATTTTTAATTATTATTAAAAGTATCCGAATAACGAATAAGTATTATGTGACAAAATAAACATCACTATTGCACAATTTCTTATTTTTACTTTTTATAAAGTTTTGCAAATAAATACATATTGATATATTTCTTCGATAATTGACGAAATTTAACGCGGGCGAATATATTTTGCATTAGTATAACACTAAACCATATAATTTATATAATTAATTACTTTGTGGCGTTATATTTAACCAATAAAATATGAAAAATTCGGTGGCATGTCATAATGTCCAGTGACATAATGTCCATTGACCTTATGACACACTATAAAGCGACATAATGTCCATGGACATTATGTCACTTTTTTAAAATGTCATAATGTCCATGGACATTGTGACACTTTGAAATCAGAAATGTATTGGAAAATTTGTTTAAAATTTAAGATAGGGACGCTCTTATCCCGAAAAGAATTGTTCCTAAATTTGGTAATTGTTACATTTTGGACTCCTATTAAAAAGTGTCCTGGATAGCCGGCCTTCGGCCGGGCGCAGGGGTTTCAAACTCTGGGGTATTTCGAACACCGGCTTCGCTAAATTAAGCCTTTTTTGATAAATGGACTCTTTGAAATCCATGGACTTTATGTCCCATTGCTCATGGACATTGTAACACTTTTGAAATTGTCATAACGTCCATGGACATTATGACTCAATTTAGTGCGTCATAACGTCTATGGACATTATGACACGCCACCAAAAATTCAAATATAACGATTTTGGTCATCATTAGGTTGGCAGCATAGTTGCCAGATGATTTGGGTGCAAAATCGTCAAATTTCGAGGAAAAAATCGTCAAAAGATTTTGGAAATCGTCATTAAATCGTCAAATCGTTTTTATCAATTTCGATTGATTTTTGTTGTCATTATCTGCATAATTTAACAATTATACTTCAAAATACCTTATATTGAGTTTTTAACTACATATCATCGCCAACGCAAACTAACCAAAAATTCAAAATCGATTTTATAGATTCTAATGTATTGCATAATTACAAAGTCTACACAAAAAATTGGAATCCTCTGACGAAAAATTAGAGATTTTATTGACAAAAAACAAAAGGCCCTATCTACAAAAACACTTAAATATAATCATACTAACCTCGGACTTTCTCATTTTGAGGAGATTTCTCGTCTTGCTCTCATCAGGGTCACCCCATAGGATCTTTGCGGTTCTACCCACCGTTTCATTATTCCAACAGGCCTTATAAAAACATCACCAGATAAACAAAAAATAGTCAAAGGGCATTATCCACTAATAAACTGTCCAATCTTGACGTAATTAAATAAATAAATATCAGAATTGGTTAATGATCAATTGAAAAAAAGTGCCGTTATTGTTCCAAATGAAAATTTAAAAAGAAAAGATTAGAACAGATAAGCATATAATTATAAGCTACCAAATTTTATGAAGATCCGTCCATATTAGACATTAATAACGCACGGTATTGCGATAAAATTTCCTTAAGTATTTTTTATAAAAGCATTTTCCTAATTATGACAAAATCGATCCATTACAAACCAAACCTTTAAATATACTCATATCTGTGGCAGGGTATCATATAGTTGGACATGTACAACTATACTTTCTTACTTGTTTTTAATGCAAATGAGGCATTCTTTTATTATTTATACTAAGTTTTACACTAATATTATTCATCAATATTTTTCCAAAAGTCTGCATTTCATGATGGGAAACAACCAAATTGGTATCACGAAAAGTGTTTTTTTACTAAACACCATCCTGCATCGGCTGGAGACGTAGCAAATTTTGAAAATCTTCGATTTGAAGATCAAGAGAGGGTTAAAAAGGAAATAGGTAAGTTATGGGTAACATATGTATATTATTTCATACTAATTTATATGTACATACTAGAGAGACCGCAAAAAGTCGATATTAGAATCTTGTTCGGCTTAACTCCACAAAATTATTCCCCTTTCCAGATATTGAAATAGCCGAAATTTGAGCTCGATTAATAAACGTTAACACGTGCCGCTCGTCGCTCAAAGTTTGAAAAAATCCAAATTTTTGGCCAAAAAATATGGAGCTATAACTCGTGATATCATGAACCTGTTCTTAGCTATGATCAAAAAAACTCCATTTTCAGTTTTTTAAAATCTTTGTTAAACAAATTTTAAAATTGTTGAAATATCACCAGGGTATTTGTGGTCAATAGATTAGGGAAAAAACAGTGAACAAATTAGGTCAATACCTCTTATAGTTAAGCTGTACCTGCGATTTGAATTCTGCGAATTTCGCGAAAAACTATTTTTTGTAATATTTTAAAAAATATGCCCTAATTCGTTACTGTTATACATTTTAAACAAAATATTTGCGGAATATTATCTTCTTATCTTATATTTGCTTCATATGTTAGCTTTTTGGCTAAAAAGTTGGATTTGTTCATACTTTGAGTGACGAGGTGCACGTATTAGCGTCTTTTAATCGAGCTCAAATTTCGGCTATCTCAATATCTGGAAAGGGGAATCACATTGTGGGGTTAAGACGAACAACATACCAACATTTTTTTCCCTTGTAAGATCCGGTCAGTCTAGTACATACATACAGCTGTGGTCAGCTAATTGGAAACGCTTTCTTAATATTACTGCTTGATGTTATTTTTATAAAATTATGTAAATATTACGTTAGATTTTCAGTTCCAAACAATTCCATATTTTAAATTGATGTTGTTATAATAACATGGAATGAATTTTGTTGTGGAACATTTCTTATTTCCTTTTCAATTTTGAATTTGGTGAAAATCGCCCAAAGATAAATCTAAGAAATTGAGACATCTAATTGAAACGGCAATTTTTTATTAAACATTTTTTAAGTCAAATCCATGATACAACTATTATTGTTTTATTATGAAAACTAACAAAGCAAGTAAAAAAAATTGTATAAATTGTGTTTATAAGTTATACTTTGGTTTATAATATGAAAAATGAAATAAATTTTATTTTTCTTTATTGTTTTATTATGAGTCAAATCTAATTTTGATAAAAACTCTAATTGTATTTTGGTTAATATTATTTTAAATTTAATTTATAAGAAATTTAACGTCATTATTTTTAGGACTAATAATGGGAATAGGCCAAAAATATACTCCTGCCTAGGGTAGATCCATTTTTGAACTTCATAAAGCTTGTAAATCGTAAAAGGATATAGGAGAACAGCTCAATTCTTCCAAAAAATATTTTTAATCGTTTAAAGCATATTAAGAAATATGACACTGATACTAACGCTCCATGTCAAAAATTTTCCAGAAAAACATCAGCCCACCCCAAACCGGATGATAAGACGAATCTCTAAAGCTGACCCAAAGAAATCATTCATGGACATCCAGCGGTAAATTTTAGAAAAATTGGATTTAACGTCATGGAAGAGAATCACGAAATAAATCTTTATTAACTAAAGTTCAAAGAATTAGCCATATCTCATTCGAACTTCTATCACACCTTTTACCATTTATTGTACATTGTATATTGAGGTTTGATGCGATTAATCTCTGTTTCAAAACTCCAAGGTAAATAATTCCACTGATTGACCGTCTAATTCTGATAAGATCTGGTAAATTCAACGCGATGTTTCATTTACAAGAGATATTGAAAATTCTTTAAATTTTAGTTGGAAAATGTTTCTTGCGCGATTCTTTCCCAAGATACCTCGATTAAGTTATACCCAATTTTTCTCAAATTTACCGCTGGATGCCCGTGGATGAGTTCTTTGGGTCAGGTTTAGAGATTCTTCTTATCATCCGGCTTATGTTTTTCTGGAAATTTTTCGACATGCAGCGTTAGTATCAGTGTCATATTTCTTAATATGCTATAAACGATCAAAAATATTTTTTTTGGAACAATTGAGCTATTCTCATATATTCTTTTACGATTTACGGGCTTTATGAAGTTTTTATAAAAATTAGATTTGACTTAAAAAAAATTTAATAAAAAATGGCCGTTTTCAATTACGTGTCGCATTTTCTTAGATTTATCTTTGAGAAATTTTCACCAAATTCTAAATGGGAAAGGAAATAAGAAAACAAAGTGCATTCCATTTTATTTTAACAACATCAATTCATAAAATACAAGTGTTTGGAACTGAAAATCTAACGTAATATTTACATAATTTTATAGAAATCACATCAAGCAGTAATATAAAGAGAGCATTTCCAATTAGCTGACCACATCTGTATGTTCGAAAAACGGGTAAATTTATTCCAGTAAATTAGTAAGAAAAATCTTTACATTTATTTATTTTTTTGTAAAATGTTGAGACAACATCATTTCCACAAAGCTGATTATTTTTTATCCTAACTTGACAGTTTTCATACAAAAATTATTTTAACCGGCAGTATATCTACCGGTTAAACGATAACCGGAGGTTAAGATATGCCGGAAAACTAGCATTTGTTGTCTAAAATTCTTTGAGTAACATTAGATTTTTAAGTTGTTACAATTTTTTTTGTGAAAAAGTAATCCATGATGTAATAAGTAAGGTGAGAGCCATGATAAAAATATCAAGGTAGTGTCATTCTCTCTTTTTGTCGCCATATTAACATTCTGACGTTTGCTGGTATTTTAATAAATCGAGCTACCACATTTATTTTGTAAATCCCATTTTTGTTTGTTTATTTTTCAATCAAAATAAAAAATAAAATTCAATTTAAACTAAACTAAAAATCAAACAAATTTAATAAAAAATTCAATAAAAATTTAAATAAATGTACAAAAAATAAAAATGCATTTGAAGAAAAATGGGCAACCAAAACTATAAACTTCCTGTTAAGTCAAATGGGCAACCAAAACTATAAACTTCCTGTTAAGTCCTATATCAAATTGCTCCATCCGGTCCAAGAATACACAGTTTTCTTCAAGTGAAACAATTTAACATTCATGAAACCTTTGATATGGACACCATTATTATTCGAGGAAATGCGTGACATCATTTGGATTGCAAAATATAAAAGGCCTTAGGGACAGATCTTGATGTGAAGGTTACCAAGGTACTCATAGGACTTAAATGCATTCCATGGATTCTGATAGGCATTCTATTTTGCCACTGTCCGAGGACACAGAATATTAGTTTGAAATGGCTGGGGAAGAGGTTCCATAACAAACGTTGCGGGATTTAACCCCCGCAGGGTACTAGCTTTTATTGGAGATTAGGATTATCTTCGATTTGAGATTAGGTTTATCTCACGTTTCTTTAATTAGGGAGTTGGCTCGATAAATCTTGTGGGCTGATACGCCATGAGAATGGACCAGTTTCAATTCATCATTCCTTTCTATCTATTTTATTTCTTTCTTGTTTTCTTTTAGTGTTCTTGTTTCTCCGTTATTGGATCTTCAGTCTATTTGAAGGGAATAACCTTATGGTCTAAGAGTGGATGTTGTCCTTTTTATGGCACATAATCCATCTTAACTTTAACATAAGGACATAATTATGCATTGCTTTAAAACCCTTTCAAATGATAACCTACATTGCATACAATTTAAATAACAAACTAAAACAGTACATTTTTTAATCGGGACAGCTCAACAACAGTTATCTCTGGACCTAAATTATTTTTGAAAGTAGCAACAACACAAATTTCTTAAAAACTATTTTTCCCTTATTCATACGTGGCAACGATGTTCTATTTATTTACAAAATACGAATTTCAAAAAATACCAGCAAACTTCAAAAAGTTTTTTTGAGAGAGAGGAATGACACTACCTTCATATTTTTATCATGGTGAGAGCGTTTCGGCAACAAACACAATATTTTTTTGTTGCCTAGAGTTGGGTTTTGTCAAAATGAAATTTCTAAAATTGAAAAATAACAAACATTGGAAAGAAATATTTTTTGTGTATTTCACAATATTACCTATAAAACCGTCGTTACATTTAGCTTGTATCTGCAGCAGGACAATGTTTTAATGCTTCTTCATCAGAGTTTTCTTATTTGAAAACTTTTTATGAACATTTTAATTCATAAATTTAAATTTTAAATTTTTTTGCTTTGAAAACACAAATATATATATTTTTTTAGAATAAAAATAAATTATTTTGACACAACCCAAGCAGTTTTAATTAAAAACCTAAATTGTTTTATTGCATTTTAATTGTAATTTTAATAATAGTTCCTGAATCTAATATTTTAACTCTATAGCAAGCATCATAATGTGAACCACAGAAAAACATAGTTAATTTACACATTCCATCTTAATTCCACACTAAGACATAGTAATAAATGGCGTCTTATATTTTATACATATGTATTTTCAATTTCTTTATTTCCAATATTTTGTAAATTTTTTTAGATAGCAGTACTGCAGTTGTAGCCGGCGTTTCAAAAAAGGGTGGCAAACGATCAAAGGCAGAAGTTAACGCCCTTAAGGATTTTGGTATAGAATATGCCAAGACAGGACGGGCATCTTGTCGTGGTTGTGAGCAGAATATACTTAAAAGTCAAATTAGAATTCGCAAAACGGTTTACGACACTGAAGTCGGAATGAAATATGGAGGTCAACCATTGTGGCATCACGTTGAATGCTTTGCCCAATTGCGCGGTGAATTGGGATGGTTTGATACCGGTGAAAATTTACCTGGCTTTAAAAGTCTAAAGAGCGAGGATAAAGATGATGTCAAAAAGGCACTACCGTAAGTTGTATTTTCATTGTATTCTTATCTGTTAAAATTAATGTTTGTTATGTCAAACCTTCTTTATAGAATAATTAAAAGTGAAGATTGCCCTCCAGCAAAGAAGGCAAAAATGGAGAAATTAGATGAGGAAGATGAAAAGTTGTCTAAAGAGTTGGTCGAAAACATAAAACAACAGAACAAGCGATTGTTCAAATTTCGGGATCAGATCAAAGATGAAATGAAAAGAAATGATATAATACAATTATTGGAGAACAATGGGCAAGAACCTGTAAAAGGTGATTCGGAAAAACTCTTAGATCAAGTAGCAGACCTTTTAACATTTGGTGCTATTTTGCCCTGTCCCGAGTGCAAGGGTAGACAATTACTATTTCAAAAATCTGGCTATTTATGTAATGGTCAATTGACAGAATGGACCAAATGCACAAATCTAATAAAAGAGCCCGAGCGCAAAGCATGCAAAATCTCAAGCGATTTTAAATCTCAATATCCGTTCCTAAAAAATGTTCGTAAGGCACCGGAGGTAAGAGCCATCCAATATATTCCACCAAGTGCTACAACAGTAGCAAAAAGTATTTCAGTTAAGAAAGGAGATGAAACTGATGGGTAAGTATTCCAGCTAAGTTCATTCCAAACAAAAATAATATTTCAAGATTTTCCTTTCTGCTGCAGACCTAAAGTAAAGCGGGAACGCCCTCCATTGTACAAGATGGAATTTTCATTATATGGCATAGACGATGAAGATGCAATTAAGAAACGTATAACTAAACTTGGCGGAAAATGTGTATCGAGTATAAAAGAACATACTACAGCAGTATTATCTACATCTGAAGAAGTTAAACGTATGGGAAGTCGTATTAAAAAGGCTAAAGAATTAGGATTGCATGTTATACCAATAGAGTATTTAGACGCAGTTGAGTCCAATGGTGCAGGCGCCATTAATTATATAAGCAGCATGTCATTGTGTGATTGGGGTACCGATCCTGCTGCTAGAATCCAACAAGATGAAGCTAAAAGTTCCAAATCAAAAAGTATTTACACCAAATCAATGCCGAAATCTATGACACTTAAGATCAAAGATGGTCTACCGGTTGATCCAGACAGTGGTTTGGAGGATGTAGCCCATGTCTACGTGTCTCAAAATAAGGATAAATATAATGTAGTTCTCGGCAAAACTGATATCCAAAGTAATAAGAATTCATATTACAAATTACAACTTTTGGAAAGCGACAATAAAAATAGGTATGTTAAAAAGTAAGACATACACCACAAACATGCTGAAAATAAAAGCATGTATTATTTTTTCCAGATATTGGGTATTTAGATCGTGGGGTCGTATTGGAACCACAATTGGAGGAAACAAATTGGAAAACTTTGATAACCTTATGTATGCTATAAAATCTTTCAAGGAATTGTATTTGGAAAAATCAGGAAACCATTTTGAAAATCGTCACAATTTTGTAAAGGTAATTTGCAAATTTATTATACAATTAACTATATATCGTGGGACTATATTCAATAGTCTCTACCTAAAATAATACAAGTTTTCAGGAGAGCATAAAAACTGTTTATTTCGCTAGTCCGTGAATATTTTCGAATTTTTTCTTCTACATTATATTATTACGACCCTATTCAAAATATATAAAAAGAATTTAAAATTTAGCATTATTTGCAAAATTATTTACAAATTTATATCAGATAGAGCTTTTTTTTACGAAAAATTTTTTACAACATTCAGATAGAGTTTTTCATAGAAATATAAATTTTTTATTTGATTTAATATCAATAAATATTATATTTTATGCAATTTATTGAAGTAATAGAAACCAAATTGTTAAAAAAGTAACAGATTATAAGGTATTGGTCCAAAATCAATGTTATATGGTTAAACACGGCAATAAAATAAAATCAAATTAGTATCATAATGAGCGACATCTCGAAAACTATTAAACTGATTTTAAATATTTTGGCGGATTTGTATTCAGCAGAGATGGGGGTAGTGCACTAATTTTTAACTATCACTAATTATTAGTGGTAGTTCAAAATTATTCACTACTTTTATTTATGTTTAGTGATGAATTGAAAAATATAAGCCTCATTCAATAATAGTGATATTTAAAATTTTTAACTAAAAATATTTTAAAAATATTTAAAATATTTGGTTTTACAGTCTAGTAAAATAATTTTTTCTACACTAAATTATTAGTTCAAAAAATATTCCTGCACTATTTTTTCACTCATTTGAAAGTTTAAGTTAATAGGACAGTCTAGAAATGGTTTAAGTCAACCAAAAACTCATTGGACGGATATTATTAATAAGTAAAACGTTCATTATTTACAAAGGTTCCAAGCTATTGCCTAAAAAACATCCAGTAACCACATCATTTTGGCAACTGGCAACGCAGATGACGTGGCAATCGAGGTACAAAATTAACCAATTAATTTTCCGAGGAGAGTTCACCATTCCGCTAAAGAAAACATCGTTATACTTGAGCAGAAGAAGGCAAAATTTTGGAATTTAGGTGTTTCAACCATTTCTTTTTAAAGCATGAGATGTTGTTGGGGTAACTGCATATGTAGGTCTATCATAGTACCATCGCTAACAAAATCTGTATTTTCCATTTTAATAGACGTATCTTTTAAAAAATTGAATCATTTATTGTCTTACAATTTTTTTCATTTTTATAAAAAAATAGTGCAAAGAAAATTATTGAAGCCTTTTGTTAGTCACTGTTCAAATTTTTAACTATTTGAGTGTAGTGCTTTTTTCTACACTATCACTCAATTGAGTTATAGTTAAAAAAATAAAATTATCACTAAAAAATATTAGTGCTAAAAATATAAGCTTCACTACCACTAAGCTCCAGAAAATTAGTGAAAAATATATTTTTTGAAATAATATTTAGTGCTAGTTAAATATTGATTTAACTAATACTTTAGTGCACTACCCCCATCTCTGGTATTCAGCAATTCCAATTTATTAAAGACACTTATTTTGCGACAGAAAATTATCCAAATTAATAGAGTTTGAATCAATTTTTGGATAAGATAGAGAGTTTTGCATTCAGGACTTTTCTTTTTTTAAGATAGAGAAATTTAAAAATTGATATAAAATTGCCAAAAAATATTTTTTTTTTTGAAATTTCTGTCACTGATGCGGGATAGTTTGCTGAATATTTAACCAATTTTATTTTCATGAAAATGACAGATAGAGACTATTGAATATAGTCCTACGATATGTTTTCTAAAAGTTGTTAACATATAACTATTTTGTATGAGTCAAGTTAATAATTCAGTAATTCTTTAAAAAATTTCCCTATAAAAATTTATAATAAATTTTGCCCTAAAGGTTAATCTTTCTTAACAACACTAGATTGTAAAATTTCATAAATTTACGTTATGCTGTTTTCCAAGCATTTCCAATTTTCTTCTACAGTTTTTTTCTAAATGTCTTTTTTATAATAGTCCAACAAATTTTTAACCCAGAGTCCAAAATTCGAATCTTCAGAATTTCTCCATCACAATAGGTTTTTTGTCCTAAAAACTGAAAGATCCCCGTTTTTGGCTATATTTGAGTCGATATAACAGCGCGAGACATCTTTCTTGATAAAATCAATTATGTCATCTGAAAGACCAATTTGTCGACTTAAAAATAAATTGAAATTCATTTCTACCTAATTCGTTTGAATTTATTAAAATTGCATTGTGACAGTTATTTTATTTAGTTTATTGTCTGTATATAAAACATTTTAGTAAACTAAAAAATTTTTATAAATGATTAGAATGTTTAAGTTGAATGATTTTTGGGTAAAAATTTGTAACCGCTTAGGGCCTAAATTATAGGTTATTGTATACATATTGTTAATTAAATAAATTAATAACTATATGTACATATTACGTTATTTTAAGGTTTCTGGTAGAATGTATCCTATAGATATTGATTATGCTGAAGATGCTAAAATTGATTTGTCTGCCGAACACAGTGTCAAGTCGAAACTTCCGCAACCAGTTCAAGATATTATTAAACTAATGTTTGATGTCGATACTATGAAAAGAACAATGATGGAATTTGATTTGGATATGGAAAAGATGCCTTTGGGCAAATTAAGTCAAAAACAGATACAGACAGCTTATAAAGTTCTAACTGAAATTTATGATCTCATTCAAAAAGGTGGTTCCAATGCAAGTTTTATTGATGCTACTAATCGGTTCTACACTTTGATACCACACAACTTCGGTACTCAAACTCCACCATTGCTGGACACCAGCGAGCAAATTGAAAAACTCCGTCAAATGCTTGACTCACTTTTGGAAATTGAATGTGCTTACAATCTACTACAAACTGAAGACTCCAAGGAAGATGTAAACCCCATCGACAAGCACTACGAACAATTAAAAACGAAACTGGAACCAATAGACAAAAACAGCGAAGAATTTTCTTTACTTCAGAAATATGTTCAAAACACTCATGCTGCCACTCACAAAATGTACGAATTGGAGATCGTGGATATTTTCAAAGTGGCCCGTCAAGGAGAAGCTCGTCGTTACAAACCATTCAAAAAGCTCCACAACCGTCGTTTACTTTGGCACGGTTCTCGCCTTACCAACTTTGCTGGTATTCTATCTCATGGTTTAAAAATAGCTCCACCAGAGGCCCCCGTAACTGGTTATATGTTCGGAAAAGGTATATATTTTGCAGATATGGTCTCCAAGTCTGCAAATTACTGTTGCACTAGCAAGCAGAATTCAACTGGTCTTATGTTACTGTCAGAGGTTGCACTTGGAGACATGATGGAATGCACAGCCGCCAAATATGTTACTAAATTGCCAAAAGATAAACATAGTTGCTTTGGTCATGGACGTACAATGCCAGATCCCAGCGAATCTGTTATTCGCGAAGATGGCGTAGAAATTCCTCTAGGTAAACCAATTACCGATGACAATCTTAAATCCTCTTTATTGTACAATGAATTTATTGTGTACGATATTGCTCAGGTTAACATACAATACATGTTCCGTATGAATTTTAAATATAATTTAAATTAAGAAATCATCAAATGTTTAAATTATTAAACATTTGCTGGATATTATTCCATGGTATATAAAATATTAATATTTTTTATACCATGTATTATTCTATATTATACTACTAATGTTTTATCTGAATTGTTTTGTTTTTTCAATGTCATAACAAAAAAATATATACATATATACTAAATATTTACATTACTTACTTTTATGTAAGATTCGAATTAAAATTTCCCGTTAAGTTTCGCTTTTTTAATATAAATAAAAGTTATTCCCAATAACAACTACTAATTTTACTTATTAGAGATTAGATCAGTAAGTATTCTGAATTCGCTTAGAATAGAAACATGAATTAAAAAAAGCCACTCCAGCAATGGCATTTTACTATTTTTAAAATATCTTTCAAACACTAGGTGTTAATATGTTACACATCTGAACTTAAACTACATTTTTATTTATCAAATATATGCACGTGAAAACTTGGGTTTTAGTTTTAACGTTTCAACAAAAAATCACTCTCCCACACACGAAAATATAAGACATTTTTGTAAGTAGACAAAATTATATAAGTGTTTAATTTATATTTTTTGGTTATAATTAGGATGGCTGTGCATTAGAGTGTTCCAAAAAAACGAAGTTGCATTTCGGAAAGATATAAAACATAAAAATTGAAAACTTTAAAAGTTATTGCAAATTCCCCAGGCCATTAACGTGTGCCGCTGCATCAATTGCCAGGTTTTCACACGCGTGTTCGGAGAAACCCCACCAAACGACCTATATCTTCATATAGAAAGTTGGAGCACCGAACTTAGTTAAATCAAAACCAGGTTATATCCTGAGTATTATATGGTCTCCACCAATTACACATATAACCTCACTCTGAGGAAAAACGGAAGCGCGCGTTTAATACAAATACAAATAACGTGGAAACAGTTATACAGTAATATATTAAGTGCGAGTGAGACGAATTGCTGTCGAAAGCTTGGCACCAAACACAAGCCTGACCGTTCTTAAAAAATAATGGAGATGACGCGAGAGTTGTTCCCCAACTCAGACCTGGGCCCAAATTGCGGCATACGATATCGATCGAAATCTCAATAGAATCTAAATGTAGATTTCGATCGATATCGTATGCCGTAATTTGGGCCCTGAATCGCACTAATACCTCGTTCACATGATGCAATTATTTGTCATCCATGCTCTCATTCATCATTCAACCCCCAATTACATACTGAATGACATGATCACAGGATATACAGAGGCGTCACGAACTATTTCCCTCTATTTCGCACATAACGATTTCAATGATTTTTTAGTTGTATTATACATACCTCTTCTCACGTCTCTTTTAAATGCATTCCATTAAATAAATATTGCGCACATTTTTATACAATAAACCAGAGACTGAAAATAACGGGTCCACTTTGTTTTCATAAGGTTAATTGCTGTAATCACCATTTATAATAGTGTTTTTGCAGTTTATCACTGAGAGAAACCTTTATGTTAGATTTTTTTATAAATGGTTGAGAGAAACCGAAAAGAAAAACAAAATAACTCGCTACAATTGATTTTTATTTTGTAAAAATTTTTGAAAAGGTTGCTTATGATTTTTATTTTTAAAAGCAAAACAATAAATCGCAAATGTAAATACACGATTAGGACACACATACACACAAACTATCTTCAGAAATCATAGCAAACAACAACAATATACTCTCCCACTCTCATATAAGCAAGAGAAAAAAGAAATACAAAAACCTAGTTCTCAGCCAAAAACATAAGTAACAAAACAAAAGTAGTAAAGGTTATACTTAACCATTTAAGTAAAAATCATTTTATAAATGTTATTTTGGGGACCCTGTCCACAAGCTGGGCATATATTGGGGACGGCACGGTCTATGCTGACCAGTAGGCGTTGAGCCCGTTGCTCCATCCCGATCTCAGTTGTGCCAGAGCAACTCTTGTTTTCCGCGGCAGGTTCTTCTCTATTTCAGCTATGGTTACGAATTCCGATTTAAGGGATATACGAATTCCGATTTAAGGGATCCTGAACATAACTTCGTATGCACGAAGGTCCTTCCTGACTTGCCTCGGGGGAGCATCCAACTGTGTGATGTTAAAGTTGGGATGACTCCTCCGGTGACATCCCAGGAGGAACTGTTTAGTCAGCATGACATTATGTTCCTTGGCTGGAAGGACCTTCGTTTCCTCGTGTAGATGGTGCTCAGAGGTTATTTGCATGCAGCCCGTTACAGTCCGTAGGGCAGCATTTTGGCAGCTTTGAATATTTCTCCACTGGGTATCACCCAGCGAAGGAGACCACACTGGAGCAGCATAATTGACCACTGACCGGCCAATTGTTTTATAGGTAGCCAACAAGGTTTCTTTGTCCTTTCCCCAAGTGCTGCCGACTATCGCTTTGAGAACCTTTTTTCTACTTCGCAATCTGTGCGTAATTGCAGTGGCATGAGCTGAGGAAGTAAACAGACTGTCAAAGGTGACCCCCAAAATCTTTGGGTGGTTCACAGTCGGTATATGGTTTCCATCGACTACGACGCCTAGGTTCAAATTTACCTCCTTCGTTCAGGTGGTGAAAAGTGTAGCTGAAGACTTCGCTGCTGATAGTTTCAGGTTACGTCCAGTGAAGAAGTTGTGTATTTCTCCGAGATAACTATTCACTCGATCACATCGTTCATAAACGTTTTGGCCCGTCGCCATAATGGTACAGTCGTCCGCATAAGATATAACTTCCACACCTTGTGAGGATGTGGGGAGTTTAAAGAGGTAGAAGTTAAACAATAGGGGGATAGGACGCCGCCCTGTGGTACACCCTGTTTAACTCTACGGGTTTTGGAACATTTCTCTCTTCCCTGGTTTCAGTATCGGGATGACTCATTGACAGGTTAAAAACCATTGTCAAGTACTCGACTCCCCGCTCGCCAAGGTGTTTCATCATCAGCTTGGATATGCCGTCGGGGCCAATTGCCTTAGATGGTTTGGCTGCGTTGATGGCCTCTGCAACTTCAGAAGGGGTGAAGGGTTGTGGAATGTCCGCGACTGGAAGGTTGTGAAGTTTGCGAACAACACTTCGTTTCGCCTTATCTCTCTCTGGGTGCTCAATAAAAAGTCGGCAGAATGCACGCGAGCACCGTTCAGGGTCGGAAATAGTGGTGTCTGCAAACTTAATCACGACCCTGTCAACCTTCTTCGTCGGGTTGTAGACCACAACTTACTAACACCTGAGCTTAAGTTGAAGTTCTTCAAAAGATCTACCCATTTATTCCGCTTGTCCTCATTTACCAACCTGCTGATATCGTGATTCAGCTGGGCAATACGTGGGTGGTCGGGGTTGATATATCGGATGTCATCGCGCTCGTCTGCTAGTCTCGCTGCCTCTGCTGGAAAGTGCGGCACTATGAATAGTCGACCAGCAGGAATAAAGCGGGCTGCTGCTGCGATGACAGTTTCGCGGAACTTGCTCTCTGCTTGGTGTACGTTGCACTGTGGTATAGGAAAAAAAAAGAGGGAAATAATTCGGTAACTTCTAAACGGTTAATCCGATTTTAATGAAATTTGGTATGCACAAAGAGGAGGTGTTGTCGAGTTTAGGTTTTGAATTTGGACCTTATAGGCCAACCAGGGGCCCGGCGGGGGGTCCTCAAATTAGGACACCTCGGCTATGTTAAATTTTTAAAACGATCCTATTTCTTCATTTGAGTTCCGATTTAAAAAAAAAATTCGTATATAGAATCTCCTCATCGAGCACTATAAAAAATGCAGTAAATTATCTCTTATAGTTTAGGAGATATTCGCATTTGAAAATTAAAATTTTTACCGTCCTTACTTTAGTTTTTTTTGATAATAGCGGGTCCAAATATTCCGATTTTCGCAATTTTTTTTTATTCGCTTAACAACAAGTTTATATATCAAGCAGTGAAAGAATTGTGCCTACCTAATGTTTTTTAAGTGACAAATTAATTAGGGAAAACTCAACATCTTTTAGAAAATTTACATAGCACTATTGTTTTCATCCATAAATTTGTTACTTAAAAAACATTAGGTAGGCATGTTATATATCAATGGAAAGGTAATTTTGTCTATTTTTCAAAACTGTGTATAATTTTTGAAAATTAAAAAATTCGCGGAATACTTTTTTAAAAAAAAATTAAAAAATGTTTTTTATTCAGTTTTTGCGAAGATACAAATTTTTCAAATTGCAATAAAAATTTTATTTATGAATATTTTTTGATGAAATTTTACAGTTAGGTAGATTTTTTTACTCAAAATCCAAACTTAAATAAAAATTTCGAATTTTCTTATTAGAAATCCCGGAATTCCCAAAAAAGTTTTAAAAAATCCCAAAAATGGGATTTTTTGGTTTTTCGCCTATTATATCCATACCAGGGGCGGGGTTATCGAAACCCGTTACAAAATGATTAAGAACATATTGGGTCATATAAAATAGGTCACTATAATTTGATATCGACTATGCGATTTGAGAATTTTTGCTCAAAATTTAATTTTCCATAAAAAATAGGGTTTTTTGGATGGACCTGGTCCCCTCGGTATCAAAAATTTTTAGGTTTTGTTTCATTTATCGTACTTTATGTAAAGTCAGCTTTCCAAAAAGTATAAATTCTATATACATCTTCTTAGAAACTTTTTAGATAACTTAAAAAGAAAAAGATACTTTTTTCCCAAAAAAATTACAAAAAATCGCCTTTTTTTATTTTTTAAATTAAAATGCCTATAACTTTGGACTCAGTCATGATTTTTACATAATTCTTTCAATGCTTGATATATAAACTTGTTGTTAAGCGAATAAAAAAAATGGCGAAAATCGGGAATATTTGGACCCGCTATTATCAAAAAAACTAAAGTAAGGACGTTAAAAATTTTAAAATTTTAATTTTCAAATGCGAATATCTCCTAAACTATAAGAGATAATTTACTGCTGGAGATTCTATATACGAAATTTTTTTTTTAAATCGGAACTCAAATGAAGAAATAGGATCGTTTTAAAAATTTAACATATCCGAGGTGTCCTAATTTCATTAAAATCGGATTAACCGTTTAGAAGTTACCTTATTATTTCCCTCTTTTTTTTCCTATACCACTGTGCGTTGCTAGGAGCTGGAAGATCATTGAAGATGCGATCAGTGAATTCTCTGAAGCCAAGCCATTCTGTTTTCTTTTGGTTTATGTAAAGACGGCGTTCAGAGACGATAAAGTCGTTGGGTCGATCCAGACAAACGATTATGGGTAAGTGGCCTGAGGCTAG